CAAACGGCGTCCTTGCCGGACAGCCCTCGCTGCACGGTGAGGTTGGGTTCGCCAATTGGTTCCTGTTTGCGGCGCCGATCGCGTGTTGCACTCTCCTCATCGCGCTGGCCGTGCTGCACTTTGGCGTGCTGCGAGGCGACCGCCCTTCTAGAAGACGCGGACTACGAGCTTCATGTACTCCAACTGGCGCTCGAGAGAGGGCACGTATTCCGCGGTATTCAGCCGCATTCAGCCGCATTCCGCTGTCTTCCGCTGTCTTCGCCTCCCTCGTGTCCACGCGGTGCTCTGGAGTACACTGCACATCACCGCCCCCCGAGGTTGGCGTGTGCACAGCGTAGGCGTCCGCCTCTCGCTCGACGAGCAGTCGCTGCGCGCGCAGCTCGAGGACCTAGAAGCGGAAGACGTGCTCGTGTCTTCCAGCCCGCGAGAGAGGACACGCACTCAGCCGCATTCGGCCGTATCAACTGGTACCATTGTCCTCGCCTCCCTCCTAGTCGCGCGGTGCTCTGAAGACACTGCACAAGACCGTACTCCCGCCCTGAGGCTGGCGCGTTCCCCACGCAGGCTGCAGGGCCTCGGCCCGACCTCTCGTGACGAGGTCGTCGCCGCGGGCGCGCTGGCCTTGCAGGTCTTCCTGTGGGTCTCGCGGCCGTACTTGCTCGAGCCCGTCTTTGGCCCCGGCTTCGGAGATTCGGCGACAGCTTGCGGCGCGGCGGTCCTCCTCTTCGTCGTCCCCTCGTCGGAGCGGCCCGGCGAGAGCGTGCTCACCTGGAGCGTCGCGCAGCAACACCTCCCGTGGGGCATCCTCCTCCTCCTCGGCGCCGGCTCTGCCATCGCCTCGCCGAGATCACCCGAGAGTCTACCCGAGATTATACCCGGGAGTAGGCGCCGGCTTTGCCATCGCCGCGGGGTGCGAGGCGTCGGGCCTCACCACCGCTCTCGGAGGCTCGCTCGCCGAGGCGCTGTCGGGCCTCACGGATTTGCCGCTCGTCATCACGATCGTCGCCGCCGTCTCGCTCCTCACACAGCTCACCTCAAACACCGCCACCGCAAACACGCTCCTCCCGCTGCTCAACGCCGTCGCAAAGGCCAAGCTCACCAACCCGCTGCTGCTGCTGCTGCCCACCACCATCGCGTGCAGCTTCGCCTTTGTGCTCCCAGCCGCCACGGCGCCAAACTCGGTCATCTTTGCGACCGAGCGCCTCGACATCGCCGACTTTGTCGTCAACGGCGGGATCACCACGGGCCTCTCCATCGCCATATGCAGCCCGCTGGTCTACCTCATGGCCGACACGGTCTTCGACGTGCGAGCGCCGTACCCGCGCTGGGCCTGTGACGACCCGGAGAGCTGCGCTTGGGTCGCCGTCGCCGGCGAGGTGGATGGCTCGTCTGTGGAGGAGCAGGCGTGCGCCGTCGTCAGCGATGAGAGCTGCCGGCTGCGCAACGGCACGCTCGTAGACCTCGCCGCCACACTGGCCGAGACCGCAGAGCCGCCCTGAGCGGCCGTGAATCTTTGTTTTGTGTGTGTGTGATTTTGGTTGTTTATTCTCGTTCTTGGTTTTTTGCTTATCTGACGATCTGAGAGATCGCCGAAACGCGAAGACCGCGAGAACCTATTCAGATACTGCACGCCGAGGATACTGAGGAGCGAGTCAGGGAGCAGCGCGACGTACGCGGGCTGACTGATGGACAGCTCCTGGCTGAGAGCAGCGTAGTAGGGGAGAGCTGACGCTGCGCTGGCTACAGAAAGCGCCAGCGCGACGACGCGCGTCCACATCTCAGGGGCGGCCGGACGACCGCGCTTTTACGGCGATTTATTGTAATGATCCGATGCTCAGAATCTAATGAGATGCCCGCTCCGGGCTCGTTCACGCCGAGCGGCTAGCGAGCCCCACCCCGCTCGTGCGGCGTCGGAGGACGCCACCGTCGTCTAGACTCCCTTGCGTCACTACGTGCCTCCCCGTGTTTGTCGCCTGGCGTTTGTGCCCCGTTTGTGCCGCGTCCCGTCCCGTGCCCCCGAGTTCATTTTATTATTTACATCAATGTTCTCGCGCCCCGCTCCCCCAACGCCCCAACACGTAAGCAAGCCCTCCATGGATGCCTTCCTACAGGAGCGGTTAGTTAGCCACCCCCTTCATGTAGACGTCTTGTATGTATCAATCAGGTGCGGTTCATTCGTTCAACGCGAGAGAGAGCTCGAAGTACGTAGGTTTAACGCACGCATCCTTTGCTTGACTGATGGCGGCCTGGGGTGCACTTGGAGCACGTTCTTTTTCAGTCAGCATTTACAGAGCTTTAGCGAGTTTTCGCCAGTTTTGGGATCTAGGCTAATCGCGATAATGAATCATGCTATTGGTACGTACTTTTACTCGTCGCAGCGAATGGTTGCCCAGGTTATCGTGCCGGACCAACTTTTGATTCGCGGATCTGGGCGTCTCTCGGGGTTTTGTCTGGCCGAGTCAACCCTGCTGGGGGCGAGACTGCGTCAGATGTTCCCGCAGCAGGCTGGAACTGCCAGCCCCACGGCGATCCAGAACGAAACCGGTGTGAGCTTCTTGATTCCCCCCCCTCCACACACCAGTCGACTCGCATCGGTTGCCTCCATGAACGGCGGAGCTATTCTCGCGCCCACACACACACACACACACACACAACGAAACCGGTCGACATGCGCGCGGGAGAGGGGCAGGCGCGTCACGTACTTGGAGCACTTGGAGTGCAGTTATCAACCTCGCATCCAGGGCCGGGGAGCTAAGAAGCGCACCCAGCGAGCCGGATGATCGGTATCGGGTTACGGGCTAGAGAGCCCTAGCCCTGGCGGGGCTAGAATCGTCGGTTTTCTCCCTCGCTCGCTTTGTTGGCAGGCATGCTCGCTGGGACGTCTGCTGGCGCATCGTCGTCCACCACCGCGCT